CAGTTTCACGTAAGCTACTCATACATGTCATAAGTCCTATAACTCCTTACAAACATCCAATCAGCAACTTTAATCCCTGCCACATTGCTTTCCCGCAACTTTAATCCCTGCCACATTGCTTTCCCGCGCTTACTTTGCATTTTAATCTGTTTGTTTTTCAAGCGTCAGTTTCATGTGAGCTACTCATACATGTGATAGGTCCGATAATTCCTTACAAACATCCAATCAGCAACTTTAATTCCTGCCACATTGCTTTCCCGAGCTTACTTACATAGAATAGAGTAAAGCTTGACGAACGTAAAAAATAAACGCCGATATATCATTTTTCCAATTTTTTTCAACTTTCAAGATCGAAGATGAAGATTTCATTTGAAATTATCAGTTCAAATTTCCCGCCGGTTAACCGACGGTTAATCGGTTAATGCTCAAGCGGTTAATTGACACCACTAGTTTCTATGCCTATAAGGCACCAGCCTATAAAATCTTAACCAAATCTGATGACTGGTATTGGAGTTATCAATAATATTACATATTATGGAAATGGTTGCCATTTTGAAGTGAACGGATGCAACTGAAAATTCTTTCTCTAGTGGGGATTGAGAGGCAATTTTTCTAGAACAAGTAATTACCAGCCAATTGACACACCCACCAACTGCCAACATGCAAAACAGTATTTCCCTTTACATCATATTATTTTTATGGGAGTTAACTGACTATGCAGATATAGGGCCTCATCACAGAATTTCATATCTGTGTTTTCTTTTTCCATAGGAAATATAACATAATACAAACTTTATGTTTCATTTATCAATTTTAATGAGTTTATTTTAACAACAAAAGATTTTCAACCACACAACAATTATGTTGACTTTCAATAATTAAACATTTCCATATTTCATCTTTCTACTCTTACCATATAAGAAAATCATTATTTTACAACTGTCAATTGAGCAAACAGGGCTTTGAGTCTGCAGTAATACAACGAACACAGTGAAAATAAAGCAGAAAAATACAAAATATGGTGAGTTTAGAGGGGAAATTAGGCTGATAGACTAAAATCTTCAATGTTATATCGCGAGTCAGTAGTTTTTGATTTATCAAATGAATGAAAATGTTGCCCTAAATCAATTTGTAATTTCTTAAGATGTACGCATGCATTGAGTCTCGGCCCCCTCCATTATTAACTTCCCCATCTCTAGTTTGAGGAGAATGGAGAAGATGTACGATTCAAAGCTTTATACAAGACTATAACCAAGCCATCTTTTATCAGTGTTTTTATAGCCTCTAAACTCATCATTTCTCTGCTCTCACTGCACAGTGTGTTCTATGTGGTAGCTAAATAGGCATTCATTTCTCAGACTTAGCTTCTATACAACAAAATAAACAATATTTCGAAAAATATCACAAACATATTTCAGAAATACCACCTTAAGAACTAAGCTGTTGTTCTGATGCGCTACTTAACTCCGTATTTGAAAATGTCCCAAAATTCACTGCGTTTTTGTTGCTATACGTTGCATAGCAACAATAATATATCACCTGTATGTCAAAATCTATTTATGAAAATACTAAAATTATTGATAAATTCAAGACAGCAATTAGTTATACTTTTGCGTCTCTTTAAAAGATTTTCTGTGATTGTTCACCCATGCAAATTGTTCACCTATGTATTTTCCAATTTTTGAAAGATCAAGTTTCAATAATAATTCAAGTAGAATGTAAAATGAAAGTTCACTTTTTATATATTTTTATTTTTGAAACTTAATCTAAAAGTTTACTTTTAAACAATAAACAGAAATTTCTGCGTATCTAAATTCATTTACATATCTCTTCATATATTACAAATGTACAATAGTGTTTTACTAAAAAAGTAAACCATTTGCAAAATATAAAATCTGAATTGTACAGTGAGTAAGCATTTAATAATACCAGTGTGCATTTACACAAAAATATATTTTAGAATTCCACATTCTAACTCCTACCAGCAGGTCTCATATATCTAATTGTATGTAAAATAGAATATAGTGCATCTATGCATAAATCAATTTTTCCAAAATTTTTGACTGATACCATAACCATATATATATTTAACCAGAATGGACAAATAAAGACTTCCCTCCCACTTGATCCATAAACCATCCAACCCTCGTATACAATTTGAATCTATTTTGCACAAAGCCACAATTTGAATCTATTTTGCACAAAGCCACATATCCATATTGCACAGGGAGACGAGCGAACAGAACGATGGACTTCTCTATTTCCTTTCAAAATTTTGTTTGGTTAGATTATAATTATGGATATTCCCCATAACATCCATTACAAGATTAAAAGCCTAAATGCCCATCGGTTAAACGCCACCCAAAGAGGAATGTGATTCCAACATGTATTTTATTCATTTAAAACATTCGGAATTAATAGGTCAGCATATCAGTCAAAAATTTGAATAAATAACAAAATTAAATCTCTATGAAATACTCACTGGGATAGTCTAGTTATGTGCTTCTAACATAAATCTAACATCTTACTTAAATTGGACAGGCTTAGAAATGACATCTCAGATATGACATCTTCAATATGACACATTAGACATGACATCCTAAATTTGACAAAGCACTACATATTCTTCAAAACTACTATCTTATGACTACATCCTCATGACTACATGTCCTCGGAGAACAATTTGACAATTAAATGATGTTTTCCGTCCTAGGATATTTTGAGAATTCAACTGTTTTTATATTTGGCAAAAAGTATTTTGAATAATTGTAATTCAAATAAGGCAATGGATTGTTATGTTATGGAGGCCTAAAAGTAGATTTACAGTTTTTTAACAATCTCCTTTTATAACTATAAACCTGCTTTTGGGCCACCCTGTATAATAAATCAAAAAGAAACAATTGAAATTATAATTATTTCAAAACCAATTTTTATATACCAACAGTTTTAAAAGAACAGTTTTCATAAAATCTGAGTTGAGGTTGAAAATGTACAAATCTCATGAGAAAAATGTCAGTAAATGCAAAATAGAGCAGAAAAATGGATTCAGCAAGGAATAAAGTAAAACGACATATAGACAACTCTCTAAATTGTATAGAAATGTAGGAAAACAATACAGTTCATTCAAGAATCAAATTTGGCAATGACCAGAGAGACACTTAACAGGGTTGACAGAACAGGCTTGCTTGATCAAAATCTCAAGACTTTTCGGACAAGCCTCAGATATCAATTGATTGCATTTGACGTATATTTGTTCATATCACGTTAATTTCTACACGTGCTATCCAAAGCAACAGATAAAAATCTGAATATTTTAAAACAATTCATTCTGAAATAACTGAATGTTGTACACTAATATCCATTATCAATAAATTATCAGTCATTTATTTATCAATATTGTGCTATTATTTATAATCTCAAAATTTAAGACGTTGATACATAGTGTAATCATTTTTAGAGAAGGGTAATTTACCAGAAGAGTGTAAAGTTATGCTCTTTTAACTATGATGTAATGAATTGTTTCCATGGTAACAGTGATGTATTCTAGAATATCCATAGCAAACAATTTTCTGGTAATGTACTTAAATACCAAATGAAGATGCTGTATGATGAATGCCAAATTGTACTCATAGAAACAGATCCAGGGAATTGTAGTTTTACACTGAGGTATTAAAGTGAAGGTACTCTACATGTTGGTACTAAAGTGGAGGTAAATAGTACTAAATACATATTGGTACCAAAGTAGAGGTACAACTATAGTATATATTTTTGTCTGTTAATTTACATGAAAAATGTCATGGTGGTCATGTTTTAGAATGCAAAATTGAGTAATAAAGAGTGAAATCAGCAAGGAATAAAGCAAACAGACATGTAATGAACACTCTAAATTGTATAGAAATGCAAGAAAATCTGGCAGTTCATTCAAATTTTACCGAGAAATGTGAAAATCACATGACCTCCCATGACATAATCATGTTTTAGATTGTCCAGTTTGAGACAAAGGTGGACCATTTCAAAGATAACTTTGACCACTGTAATGAGTAAACTGATTCATGATAAATTAAGATTAAGGAATGTTGAGAGGATGGTACCCGTGTCCTCCCCTCCCACATAGATCTATTCCTCGGGGTAGAGATACGAAGGAAATAATGGTCCCCCAGGGATTTGGTCCCCCTTTCATATGGCTTTTACTTGTCTTGACTTCAGATTCTGACATGCAAAATAGTAATAGTTAATTTAGAATATAAATCAATGAGCAAGAGGACATAATTGTCTTGAACTATAATTGCCTTTCCACACAAATAAGAGGTACAGTAAAGAAAGACTAGAACCTCGATGACAATTATTGATAAGGAATTAGTTATTTTTGAAATGGTCAACTAGCATGAGGTAAGGTTTAGCCTAATACTGAAGTTCAAAGATCATGAATTTAAATACAACCTAATGAAACCTTTTTCTGTATGGTATCTACAAGAAACCTTCAATATAGTAATAATAAGAACTATCTTCCTCTAACAAGTAAAGATAATTTCAAATATAAAAGCAGATTTACTTAAAGGTGACACATGCTTTCATAATTTAAATGATTCATTAATCCACAAAAATGTAATATTTCAAAATAAATTGAATTAATGTTTGAACTTATTTCAGCTTATGTCACTCTAAAAGTTTTACCATTATCTGCAATAATACAATAACAAATAAAGAAAACATAGTATGTCATCAGAAAATCTAATTACATACTCTGATCTTTGATACAAAGAAAAATTGTACAATAATTGTAATAGCATATTTTCATAGTCGCTGTATAAACACATGCAATAATTCAATCTAAAAGCAGTAGTTTTTATATCGAATATTCAGGCCTACTGTTATTAAAATGACATTCTGTTGAAAATAATAAACTTTATTTATACAAAATACATTACATTTAATATATACATAATGTATTTCAAAATCTGAGATCAAAACATCTATGAATCTGAGAATGAAACCCAACTATTTTTCTCAAAATTGCTTGCACATTTTTTTCAATAATCGATTCTTTAAAAAGGCTAAAAATAGCAGAAACTTTATGAATAAATTCATATTTAAAAAGATCAGCTCATAAACTCGAATCAATTAAGTTAAACATTCATATACACAGTGTAATATTACTTATAATACATAAAAATACTTGAATTTCATTCTCATCATTTGCCAAATTATTTATACCCTTCAACAGATGTGCTTATTTGACACCATGCTTTTCAGACATCCAGGGATCTTCTCTACTGACACTATGTCTCCCATATGACACCATGTTTCCAATGTAAGCAATGATTTTTCGATCTCTGGAAAAGCAAGGTGTTCAAGCCGCATCATCAAGGATCAGGATTTACGAAGCAGTACTCAGGTCAACACTTGAGCTTAGGGTGCATTGTTTTATATTGACGCCCTGTTCATCACAGTCAAGTGACGAGCCCTTACCCCGCTCACTCTCAAAACTCGCAGAGCTCGAAATTGAATGTGGCTTTAAATGTGTGTCTGATTCCCCACCAGTTGTCGAGTTTGAAGAGAGTCGATCACGTTGTTCTCGCCATGCACGTTGCCTGGCGGCCATGTTTAAGTTTTCACTAGATGAAGACCAAGCATGTTGTTTGGACCAGCCGCTCGTGAAAACATCCTCATGTTGTGCCTTTGGAGAGCAGGGATGCACGAAAACACTAGGTTCATTCGCACTAGACCATTTCCTAAGTTGAACACCTCGTTTTTCTTTATGTACAGATTCTGAGCCGCCATCAGTGCTTGTGTCTACCGATCTCTGCGTGTGAGGGAAGGGATCTGAATGTGCGCTTTCGAAGCTATTAATGGACCAATTCCTGGGTTGTGGCCGCTTTAAGCGAGGACTCAAACTCAAGTATTGACCAGGTTCCTCAAGAACGGATGATGTGGTATCTGCTGAATGCCACATTTTGAGCCTAGGACTTAGTAGCGGATCAACACTACCAGTTGAGCTTTCAGTTGAGGCTGACCAGCGTTTAAACTTCGGAATGTCCATATATTTTGTCTTGCTAGGTGCTAATGTCGAATCACACTGAACAGATTCAGATTTATCCAACGATTTCATACCCTCACTTTCCACACTTTTCATATGCTCGATTAATTGATCCTTATCGATGCTAGAGAATGGAGAAGTACGCATACTAAGAGCACTTGAACTGGTGCCCGAGTCTACACTTGATAAAGAGTCTTTACGAGTGTCCACGACACTTGGCCCTGATGCACTCCGCTGTAACTGCTTCTTGCCAGGTTGCTTGTTATGGATCCGCATGTGACGTGTGATCATGTCACGTCTGCATGCTGCGTACGGACATTGTGGACACTTATACGGTTTCTCCCCTGTATGTGTGCGCTGATGCGTGGTGAGATGGTCGCTTCGACTGAAAACCTGCCCGCACACTTTACACTCGTACGGTTTTAAGCCTGTATGGAGACGCATGTGTCTCGTCAACATGTCACTTCTAGAAAAGGCACGATTGCACACCTTGCAATAATGTATCTTATTGCTGTCTCCAGTTTTCACAGTTTCAGTCGGGAGATGTTTCGCCATATGCTTAGCCAAGTTGTCATATGAAGGAAACAGTTGCTGACATACTGGACATAAATAGCTCATACGTGGATCTCGCGTGACTCTCTCTTGTTGTCTAGCGGGACTATATGGACAGTAGGCCATGTTGGATGGGGTACGTGGGGAAGCCATCCCACTGTCCGACAAAAGAGGGCTCTGAGGTAAATGATCGCCTGGGCGATGCCCCGTGTGAAATTGAAACACATTACCCTGTTTACTACCACTACTTGGTGTACGTGGATCACCGAAAGTAAAACGTGGCGACCCAAAATCAGAAGTTAATGGGGAGGGAGTGGCAAGGTTGCTTAACCAATTGCGAACCATGAAACTTGATTGGTGGAAAGGACTGGGAAGGAGACTTGGACTAGGGAGCATACTTGGACTAGGATGGGGGCTCTTCCAGGCTGGGCTAAATGGCACAATAGGTTTACATTCTGCTGTTGGAGATATAGTCAATGGTTCCCCTTGCCACTTTTTCTCCTGTTTAATATTGATTGTATCCACGTTCAACTTTTCACCTTCTTCTGGAATGTTCCTTAGGTACTCGCTCCGTACAGAACTAAGATCTAAAGCATGTTCCATGGGAGTATGCTTTTCTTCAATAACTTCCTGAACTGTGACTGTCAATTTGCTTGGTTCATTACTGAAGGTTTTAGGATTTACTGTTTCATTTGAGCAAGGCTCTGTTGTTGTCATAGTTACATCTGCTTCATTATTTTCACTCTGGCTTGATATGTAGCGATTACGCAAGTATTTTTTATAGTAAACATTTTGATTAGATTTTGGTACAGCCATAGATCGACTTGAGTCCGAGTGACTATCTCTTGATGGAGATACATCACTACGAATTTGACTAGCTTCAATATCAGCAATCTGTTCATCTTTTTCTAGATTCGTTAAATCAGAGTCTGACTTTGCAGCGTGGAGACTCCCAGAAAATGACGAGCTTGGAGACCCATAAGGTGAGAGCTTTGTTGATGTTGTTTCTACACTGAGACATGATGGATCAGGGGAGCGTGACAATGGAGATGGCGTGTGATACCCAGGCGCAAGACTGTCTAAAGTCATTAAAGGAGATTCACTTGTGATGTTAATATCTATCCCAGAATGCTCCACAGGAGATGCTGGGCTCCCAGAAGCCATGCTGTCACTACTGATATTTGGTGACATCTCCCGATCTTCTTGTTGGATAATTGTGAATGCTGGATGTGTGAGCCTCCTTTTGAATCCAGAATCGCTATCAAGAGATCGTTTTTCTTTCCCATGATCTGAATCATCGACAAAAACATCATCAAATTCAAATTCCCCACTTGGATCTCTTGAGTCCAAAAACTGATTTTGTATGGGATCTTTCTTAGGAAGCGTCAATTCCATTTTCTGTTTATCTTGCCAATGTGTATGTGTTGCTCCTGAGGGGTGAGTGATCATTTGTTTGCTATCTACTGATTCGCTGATACCAACATCTCCACTCTTGTCTAACATCTTGTTCATATCACACTTCTCCGTCAAACTAACTTCCTTCTTACCCATCATGATTTATAAGTAGCGTTGTCGTCGTGGCAACACCAAATAAGGTAATATCCTACCGATTGATTGACATCATTAACAACTACCTCCTACTGTCACAGTTGTTGTTTTTAGCATCATAAAACGTATTTTCTGTATCGTGTGTCATTGTATTCTTTAATATTTAATAAAAAGAGTGTCGTAATGTCTCATGCATAGCACATCATACGTTGTTATTCTCGAAACATCCGGTCAGATATAATTAAGGCAACATCATGTTAGCACTACGTTGTCCTCCTGTTGGTCTGGCATTACGTCTTAAGTTGACGAAACATGGAGCCTGAAAAACACAATAATGCAATGTTTAACAATATTATTGAACAGTCATTAAAGAAGCATATAATTAGAAATTGTTAACTATAGACATAGTGAACAATTATTGAATTTTTGTTCCTGTTCATAAAAATTGACATTTTGTATGACAGAAGGCATTTTTTCATTTGTGTTCTATAAGACTTCCCAGGCACCCATCCTCAGGAATATCATTGCCATGGAGATCATAAAATATGTTTACCCAAAAATAATATAGATCACTGAAACTAAATTGCTGTATGACAATTACAAGATATCTAGTATTTATTCCATTGTTAGCATGATATTCATAGGATATCATGTCAAAATAAAAACGGTATTTTTGTAATCAGTGGTAAAATATGATATATTTTGACAAATTTTCACTTAACCATAGCATACGGTGTTTAGGCCATGACATACGGCGCCGTATGCTATGAATTATAGATTTTTCCTACTTCAAACTCAAAACGAGGCTAAGTGTCAACATCATCGGATCGTTTGGAAAATTTGAATTAAATCACATAATTTCCGACAATTCTGATGATGACTTTAACTATGGAATAAAAAGAACACTCGCTACACTCGCTCGTGCAGATATCTATTATCCATTCGTGGATAAAAATCATATCACTCATAAATCATAGGATAGCCTCTATATATGCCCATGAAATAAATAATTCAATTTCAACATCAAAATAGTTAACAAATATACAATATTGGCGCAAAACACACAAGAACACAAATGTGTACAATATGTCCCCACCAATGGGTGATCCCGTCAAATGGTTATCCTGAAAATGAGTAGACAAGACTTTACTGTTACAATTTAGGGACAGAAAATGCAAAATGTCCACCTTAAAATTTACCCAGAATGCCAAAAGATTAGTCAGCTCTAGATTTTCATACTAAGAACCATCCCTGAAAATTTGAAATTGATCCGTCAAACAGTAAACCAGAAAACGTGTAGACAAGACTTTACAGACAAGATTTTAGGACGGAAAATCCAAAATGGCTGCCTTGAAATTTTCCCAGAATGCCAAAAAACTAATCAGATCTAGATTTTCATACTAAGAATCATCCCTAAAACATTGAAATTGATCTACCAAATGGTTTACCTGAAAACGCGTAGACAAGACTTTACAGACAAGATTTTAGGACAGAAAATCCAAAATGGCTGCCTTGACATTTACCAAGAATGCCAAAAAACTAATCAGATCTAGATTTTCATACCAAGAATCATCCCTGAAAATTTGAAATTGATCTACCAAATGGTTCACATGAAAACGTGTAGACAAGACTTTACAGACAAGATTTTAGGATGGAAAAATCCAAAATGGCCGACAATAAAAAAGCGATTATTAGTTTTTGCTGATTTCTTTTTACAAAATTATCACATATAACTACTGTTAACAATAACATAGGCTTTTAAGGCAGAATACACCTGAAATTATTTATAAAGCTACTAAATAGTTAAAGTATGAAAACTCAAAAACACCATTCAATATGATACAAAGTATTATTGCGCGCTAACTTTTCTTAAAACATTCAAAATGGCTGACATGACTGAGCTAACAGGTCCAAAACCTAATCAGATGTAGAATGAAGTAAGCTGAACAAGATTTTAAAGTTTTAAAAGCAACCGTGAAGCCATTTTTCTTTAAGTTTGCAGACAAGGATTTTAGCATTTGACTTAAAAATGGCCGACAGGAAGTAGGTATTGAGCTAAAAGTTTTTCGTCCAGATCTGTATGCACTCATAAGTTATCCCTGAAAATTTGAAGGTGATATCTATAGTGGTTTTGGAGAAAACTGCCGGACGGACAGACGAACAGACAGACAGACAGACGGACGCGCCTAGGCCGACACAATATGGCCCCACACTATGTGGTGGGGACATAAAAAGGGACAAGTACTCACAGAATGAACAAAAATATCTAAAAATGCTCAAAGTAAATAATAAACAAATAAACATTTTATTATTCATGGGTGTAATCAGGGGTTTAATCAGGCATTTGACAGTTTAAATGCAAGTTCAGCAATTCTAACATTTAGAGTTTCAAACTTTTGATAATAGACGTAAATATTCACTGAATTTGTGCCATTTACTAATTGATGTTTCATACAAAAATATCTTAACATTCATGTTTTATGTAACTTCCCAGGTATCCAGGTTATACTGAATAACCATGGTGACCTATTGTTTTTTTATCACATCAAGAAACATAGACAGCTTCAACTATGTGCTTTTAATAACAAGGTAACTTGACATGCCTATATCATTTACTTATTAGTTAACAATCACATTTTCATTTACTCATCTTTATAAAAAACTAATATCAAGGTTTTTACTTGGCTTATATTAGGGTCCTTCATAGGATCCCATATTACATGCATAAATTTGTTCTTAAAGGGAATGAAAGTGCTTCACAACGAAATTTAACTACAGGTTTTGACTTTGCAGAAATTATATTATTTTGGAAAAAGAGGTCTTATTCACATAAGATATCAGCCTGTGCAATTTGGACCAAAGTTATAATAAGTTATAATAAAAAACTTAATTTTTTCATGAAAAATGGTAACCATTTTGAATTCAACACCCATCTTGAAAATTATATTTTTCAAAGATTTAGAGCCATTTGAATTGAGCAACCATTTTAGAAATTTCTTCTTGAACAGAGGTCCTGTATTCTCCAAGGATAATAGTCTATAAACTTAACTGAGCATTTTGTTAACCATGACATTTTCAGGAAAGTGCTACAGCAAAATATTAAGGCAATTTTTAGAAAATAGGTACAGTATACCAATGAATGAGTCAAACAAAAATAATTTTTAGAGAAAGTCCCTCCCTTTATCTGATCCTAATTTAAATAAAAGAAATGAAGGCTGACAAGAGTGGAATTAAATAAAAAAAAAAATAAATGAACAAGTATAGAAAAACCATATATTGGTAAAGGAGTGATGAACTCGTATTATATTATTTCATTCATGTTTTATGAAGAATGACGTCAAGTAACTATTTTTATCTAAACTTATGATTAAAAATATATTTACAGATCCAAATTTAGAAAAGAAAAACCTGTCACCCATTCTAATAATAAGTACCTCAAATGACGTTCCATGACAGAAGACAATTACTCAGATGCGAGTAGGTAGTTACCAGTTTCGCCACCAGGTGGCTGAGTCGGGGGAAATAACATGGCAGGGTATTACAAAATTCCCTTAAACTTGAATATTCATCGGTTTTAGTGGTTCACTTTTCATATTACCCTTTTGTATCTGATAGTTATACAAATTAAAATATGCCCAGTAAAAGAAAATATTATCTGCCCAACACAAGAAAAGATATTTCACTTTTTGTGATTTTACAACATGGGCTCTATGGGGAATCTCCCCGACCTAGAAGTCACATTTTCAAAGAAAATGAAATTTTTAAAGTTGATAAACTCTTTTCAAAACCACATTTCTAGATGTAATTCTACATATAGATTCCAAATATGACATCAATTTGACTGAATTTTGAATTTTTGATGACGTAAATCAAGATTATTTCTACTCGCATCTAGTCTATTGTGCTTTGGTTTTATCTATTCTACCCTTTCTCTTTAATACTTCAATGAGCAACCCAATTTTCTGGTATTTAAGGGTTTAAGCCCTAGACTCAATGTATTGTGGACTAAATCATTCCTCTGAAAGTGTTGTTTTCAAATCTTTGCATGATCGCCCAGCGGGAATGCAAAATTTAGGAAACGACGCCTGAGTTGAATGAATCAGCCACAGTACATCAAATTATTTTCACGCATTGCAAATATTTTCTACAAATGCAGTGCATTATATAAAGCACTGTGTTTGGATTGGCTTGAGACACAACTTGCCTAGCTATGTGTGAATTCTATATAATTACATGCCTGTTCCAAGCTGACTCTTTTGTATTTTTCATCTTAAAACATGATATTTCATGACATTGGCATTATTTTCTGAATATGTGTAGTATGTAAATATGAAATATACTAAAACAAATACAACAACAGTAATACACTAGTATCTAATTGAAAGTAGTAGCTTATAGATAATATATAGGTACAATACTTGATTAACAGTTTAATTTTCATAACTCAGTTCATACCTTAAAAATCCATATTATAGTGTGGGATAATTTTAAGACCTTATGAATTGATGTTTTAAAATGACACCATCTACATATAGTTGCAATTACATAATGTATCCATTCTTACAACCACTGATGCTTAACACAAAGCACCAAAGGATAAATGACTGTCACAAAAAAGGTTACAAGTATCTATTCATGCGTGACCAATTATATGACGCATTATCAAAAAAATACTGAAATTTGACTGGTTAGGAGAACTTAAATACAGTAAAACTTGTGTATAGTGAACATTTTTTTGCCAAGAAAAAACGTTCACTGTAGGTAGGTGTTCACTAGAGAGAGGGTAATTTATACAGAAGTCAGTGGACTATGTGCGTAGGAAGGGTGTCCACTAGGGACAGGTGTTCACTAGAGAAAGGTGTTCACTAAGACAGGTTTTACTGTAGTCATCAAGACAAACTCAATCAGAGCCACACACAGTTGTCTAATATCATATCATTTTCATTGATTTTGGGAAAGCTTTTAGAAAGCGATTTGATAGATTGAACGAGACAAATGGTCATAAATATAAAAAAAAAAATACCCAGCATGCCAAAAACCTAATCAGATCTTGGCACTACTATGGTTTTACACCTGTAAAAATTTAAAATAAATAGGATAAACAGTTTTTCTGGAATTTTACTCCTTGCATGCACAGATGTACAACCATCACCACAAGAAGATAACAATATTGTAGTTTTCAAGTAGTTCAGTAGACAAATCTGAATACCACTTGGACCAGCCAAAAGTGTTTCAATTACCAGGTGTTCATATTTCAAGGTTCTTAATGTGAGTCAATAGAATGTAACAAAATTGAAACCAA